ACCGTGCTGAAACCCGTCTTCGCAATCCGTATTGAAAAGCGAAAGCAAAATGCCTGTTTTATCAATTCCGTAAAACGGCAAAGACAGAAATAAACTGTTGTAAAGCTGAAATTTGATGCCGACCGAGTTTTGAAATTTTTCGAGCGCGCCCGAAACTGTTTGAATCATAAAAGAATTGTAATATAGAGTTATGTTTTAGAAAACAAAATAATTAAAAAGATATGAAAAACGATTATCGGGTCGAGCGTTGGAACGAAAAATTTTCGCCTGATTCGGCAAAACTGAAACAAATTATGCAGGCGGAAGGTTTTTCGGTATTTGAATGGACGGACAGTGCAAATACCATTTACGGAAATCACGAACATTTTGAAGAACAGTCACATTGGATAATTTCGGGCGAACTGGAAATGACGGTCGAAAACATCGGAACTTTCGTTTTAAAATCCGGCGACCGCGATTTTATGCCTGCAAATACGGTTCATTCGGCGCGTGTTTTGGGCGGAAATCCGGTAACTTATTTGATCGGCGCAAAGCGTTAAAATCAGAATCCGACAACTTGAAAAAAATCCGAATATTTAATAATTGCAATGAAATAGAATTTCGTTTCAATTCGCGTTAATCTTTCAACGGCGGGTTTTGGCGGAAAATTTTAATGTATCTTTTTTATCTTTTATCAATTCTGCTTGTCTATTTCAGTTATAAATCATTGCTCGGCGGAATCGCTTATTTGAATTTCTTTCGGCGCGAGCTTGCCAAAACTCCGTCCGATTTTACCCCTTTTGCTTCGATAATTGCGCCTTGTCGCGGGCTTGATGCCGATCTGGAAGAAAATCTTGCGGCACTTTTTTGCCAAAATTTTCCGCAATTTGAAATAATTTTCGCGGTTGATGATGAAAGAGATGAAGCGGTTTCCGTTATCAAAAAACTGATTTCTGAAAATGCGCAAGTATCTGCAAAATATATCGTTGCGCCGAAAACCTTCGATTCGAGCCAGAAAGTTGAAAACTTGCGTGAAGCCGTTCTGCACGTTTCCGGCGAAAGCAAGGTTTTCGTCTTTGTTGATTCGGATGCGCGACCTGATGAAAATTGGCTGAGAAATCTGATCGCGCCTTTGCAGGATGAAAATGTCGGTGCGGCGACAGGTTATCGTTGGTTTATTTCCAAAAAGAGAAATTTTGCTTCGGAAATGCGTTCGGTTTGGAATGCTTCGATTGCTTCGGCATTGGGCGAGAACGTGAAGTCGAATTTTTGTTGGGGCGGTTCGATGGCGATTCGGCGTGAGATTTTTGAAAAAATCGAAATGTGCGAAAAATGGCGCGGAACGCTTTCCGATGATTTCGCCGTGACACGGGCGATGAAGGATGCGGATTTGCCGATATGTTTCGTGCCGCAAGCCTTGACGGCTTCGGTTGAAGATTGCAGTTTGC